TGGGCCCGCACGAGCAAATCGATAAACAACGGGAGGACAGTGCTACAGTGTACAGTGCTTTTTTGGGTCACACCCGGCGGTGCTCAGGTGTTACTCCTGGCTTTGCACTCAGGAATTACTCCTGGTGGTGTTCGGGGGAACTACATGGGATGCTGGGAATCTAACCCAGGTAGGCCACGTGCAAGGCAAATGCCCTACCCGCTGTGCTATCCCTCCAGCCCCTCTTTTATTTTTATTTTTGGGCCAAACCCCGTGGTGCTCAGGGCTTTTTCCTGGCTCTATGCTCAAGGGCCCTTACCTGGCAGTGCTCAGGGGACCATATGTGGTGCAAAGCCTCAAACCCAATTAAACCACATTACTCTCTTCTATGTTTCCAGTGCCAATCATGACTTTTTCATTGTTTTTTCCTGTTTTAAAAACTATTATGATTATACTTATTATCATCATTTATTACCTTTCCCTTCTTAAAATTATTTTATTTAAATTTGTCTTTGTTGGGAGGGGTGGCCAGAACTGGTTGTGCTCAGGACTTTTTCCTGGTTCTGCACTCAGGGAATCAGTACTTGCGGGGCTCATGGGAGCCAATGTGATGCTAGGGATTGAACCTGGGTAGAGCTCTTGCAAGTGTAACTTGTAACTTATCTGTTGTACTATCATTTCTCTGACCTTTCATTTTTGTGATGGATAGCAGTCAAATCCTTGGATGTAGTGCTTGCAAACTTGGCTGTGGCGTTTGCTGGGATTTGCACAGTGAGTGTGGTGTTCACGCATATATTTACCATACATCACACTCCTGGTAACTAATATGAAGTGAAAATATGGCTGACTCGGGTGTTGATTAGAGATTGTGGATTTGTGTACCCAGTAACAGCTTTTCATTGAACTATCTTCATAAGTTTTTGATTTTCCAGCGCTTGGGTATACTAGTAGAGCCAAAGTTGAGCAGACCTGGGAAGTGACCTGTGGTATGATGCTGTGGTTGTTTGGGTAGACATCTGGTATCAAGTTTGGTTAGTATTTATTGCTACCAAGTCAACGAATTAATTCTCCTTTGTGACCCAGAATGCCAAGTGCTATGTTAGAGGTTTGAAGGATGTCTGGGGGCATACACAGAGTTTGAACAGGTCTGATGAACTAGATTTCTGACAGCCACAGGTACTTTTAAAGGACATGGATGACTGTGATCAGGGAATTTGGGCCTTTATTCTGGCCAGAAATAGCTGTAAGAAAAATTTGTTCAGTATCTGTGTATTACACTTTAGATCAGAGTATCCCAAGGTGCTTGAGCACTTACCCTGGGAGGACCTGTTTGGCATTAGGGGTGCTATGCTTCCAGAGCTTGGCTGATTCCCATATGCTTTGCTGTGTTCCAGTATGAACTGGTCTGGGCGTGAACTCCTTTCTATCTGGAAATGCTTTGGAAAGCTTGATCTGCTGGCTTGCTGACCACAGTCTGCTGGGTGGGGCTGACTCAGTCTGTTGGCCTGCATAAGCAAGTGTCAGCTTGTTCTGCAACTTGCTTGGATGGATGGGGCTTGCCTTTGGTATAGTGGCTTGTGGCCAGATTGCCAATGACAATTGAGACAGTGCCTGCCACTGTGAGCTAGAGTTCAATTTCCTGACACCTCCTTCCCTACTCAGTGGAACAGCTGAGCATCTGGAGAGCCATACTCATCCTAGCCTCTTGCGTTAACTCAGTGCTTCCTTTTCCTGCGTCTACTTTACTGCCAGCAATTCTATGATGGATCTTTTCCCCTGGGGGTATAACTTTGCTTTCAGTTCAACCCTTAGTGTTAATTTTGCCACAGAAGAGTGCTGGATGGACTTCCCCTTAATTGCTGGCTCTTTCCTTCATTTTGGTGGGCTTTCCAAGGAATGCTCAGGGTGCACAGAGGTTACTTCGATGATAATTGGCCAACTAACTGGAGCATACAGTGCTTGTGTCCAGCAATGTGGTGCTGTTCAGATCTGACAGTGCTGTGGGTCATCAGGTCTATACTTGGTGTTTGGGGTGGGTATGGGTGCTGGTGCCAAGGCCAGACTTGGTTCCTTGCACATGCAAGACATAACACTGAGCTCTCTTCGTGTCCCATAACATTTAACTCTCCTCATGACCCACATTTATTTTGCCACTCATGGCGGTGTGCAGAGCTTACTACTGGCTCTACATGGCTCCTTGCGGGGCTTGGGGGACATTATGGGGTGCTGGGGATTGAACCCAGGTCGCCTGCATGCAAACCAAACCCCTATCCACTATACTATCATTACAGGCTCCTTAGAAACATTTTGATTTCATGTGGTTCCACTTGTTGACTCTTATTTTCTTATCTTTTACTTTTTCTGCAGTACTAGGGATCAAACCTAGGGTTTTGTTCATGTTAATCATATTCTGTACTATTGAGTCACATTCTCTGGCAGAGTCTTGAATCTTTTTGTTGGAGAACTCCCTCTTACCCTCTATTTCTTATCTTACTTTCCTAATTTTCTTTCTTATTTTTTAAAAATTTGTCCTTTACACCCCACCGCTCACCCCAGTCTGTTTCAGCAACTACATTGGTAAGCAGACGAATTCTCTAAGATGAATGTTTCCAGGAGGGAGGGTAACCTTGGAACTGGAGCTGAAAATAGCTCTCTGGTTAAGCCCCAGGCATTAATGTCATATGTGTCTTTCCCAAACACCCTCTAGAGGGGAGTATTTAGGACTTGAGGCTTAGCTTTTCATACTTTTGCATCCTTTCTAGTAGCATCTTTACTATGAGGTGAGAAAAACACTATAGCTGGGAGTTTCTAACATTCTCATTCACAGGTTGGTATGCTTCTATCTAATATCCTGTCTTTTCCCACTATATTCGGCTGCCTGCATTTATTTCTGCTCACGAGATTCTGTTGCCTCTGTTTATATTCATTCTGGGACTATGTTGTGTCTTGGTTCAGTAGCATCTCAGTTCCTAGCTAGAGATTTGTAAGTATCAATTGAACTTTCAGGACTGTTAAGTGACACCATGAGGAATACTGGTCTGGGGCTGAAATTTCCCATAAAGACCATAAAGGACATTTTTCCAGGGGAGCATCCCTGCACTGCAGATTTTCGTGGGATTTCCTCCTTTCTCTTAAAGTTGTTCTTCACCATAATCCCTATGTGGTTGCAACTTAATGTTGCCAGTGACTGGATAGAGTGGGGAGTGAGGGAGTTAAACTCGAAAGTGCTTCCATTCCTCTGCTTGACCCACCTTGGCCACCAATTCTCAGGGAATTTCCTGGCTTGTATCAGGACTGATAATGTCTTCTTCGAGGACCCACACAGCACAATTGTTCAAGTGATTCTTGAGTTGTTAAGCTATGCCTGGGGTCCATTTGTTCTTTTTATGTGGGTTTCTTTTATTTTTTTTAAAAAAATTTTAAATTTTTATTGGTGAGACACCATGAGGTACAGTTGTAGACTTACAAATTTTTGTGCTTGGGTTTCAATTATACAATGATCAAATACCCATCCATCTGGAGTGGAAAATGATGTCTGCCAATTGACTACTTACTGGAGCCATGGACTCAGGCTGGAAGAGGGAATTGCTCTTTGCAGGAAAGGAAAATCAGTCCTAACTTTGGCACAGGTGTTCTGGGTTCATTGCTTTTCCCTCACAGAAAGGAATTTCAGGAGGAGGTGAAGCAACATAGTTTTTATTGAAATTTACTGAGAAAGATATGAGAGGAGAGAGCATTACATTCAAGAGAATATGGTCTTCTTCAGAGTAGAAAGGCCAGCAAGCAAAGATAGAGGTAGAAACAAGAAAGTGAGGTATGTGTTCAAGGGAGAACTTGGGCTTGAAGAGTAAGCCTCTTTCTTATTTCTGATGTTACATTCTGTGCTTCCATGTATTAGATATATGGTTCTTTGGTTTTCTTTGTACTAGTTGTATTCTGTTTATTGTTTGAGACCCAGTCAGTTTTCTTGACATTTAGATTATATCTGAAGAGCTTTCCTTTTTGCTCATTCACTGGCTTTCAAGTCACTGTATATAAATTTTGTAGGGGCCACATCTAGTGATATTCTGGTAGTGCAGTGCTCAGGAGGCACCATGGTCCACACCTGGTGGTTCTGGGGGTGGGCAGGGAGTGCTCAGATCAGTAGATCAGTTCATGGTGTTGCCCATATTAGGTACGGGTTCCATCCCTTTGAGCTATCTCCAGGCCTTTGGATTTAACTTTGTTCTGCATGTGCTTTTTTCCCCCACTAGGAGGCTCTCTTACTCTTGGTTTGAGGATTATGTTTTCTCAGGATATTAAGTGTGGGATTTATCAGAAGTCTTCAGGTGATAAACATGATAGGTAGTTCATATCCGTTTTGGTTTTTTAAGTGATCTTTTTCTTTATTGAGGTCTAATACTCCATGTTTTGGATTATACTTTGATCCTTGATAAATATTGTATTGCTCATGTTTTTGTATCCTTAGTGAAATAGAAAATTAGAGCGATAGCACAGCGGGTAGGGCGTTCGCCTTACAAGCGGCCAACATGGCCGACCCGAGTTCGATTCCTCCGCCCCTCTCGGAGAGCCTGGCAAGCTACCGAGAGTATTGGATATGCCAGACACAGTAACAACAAAGTCTCCAATGGAGACGTTACTGGGCCCGCTCGAGCAAATCGACGATCAACGGGAGGGCCTTTACCTTTACCTTACCTTTTAGTTTTATTATTATTTTAAATTTTAATTTAATTTAATTTAATTTGCCTTTTGGGTCACACCTGGCAATGCACAAGGGTTACTCCTGGCTCAGCACTCAGGAATTACTCCTGGCGGTGCTCAGGGGACCATATGGGATGCTGGAAATTGAACCCGGGTCAGCCGCATACAAGGCAAACTCCCTACCTGCTGTGGTATTGCTCCAGCCTCCAATTAGTTTTTATTTTTAATATATATTCTCTCATAATAGAGATACTTTTTAGTTTTCTATTACTATTACATACATAACAATGTAATTTAGTTTTACATTTTTATTTTGATAGTGAGAGCAAGTTGAATACATTGGTGCAGAAGCTTCATGACTTTCTAGCACACTCATCAGAAGAATCTGAAGAAACAAGTTCACCTCCAAGGCTTGTGATGAACCAAAGCACAGGTAATTGAAAGTGAATATGTAGAACCTTATGGTTTATTTTTTCATGTTTTTTATTAAGGGACAAGCTAATAAAGACTTTAATGGCCCTTTATGCATGTAGTAATTTGCTAATATTTGATAAGGTGGATTTAATTTTTTGGGGGGGGACACACCTGGCAGTACTTAGGGATTATTCCTTCCTTTTACTCAAGGATCACTTCTGGGGGATTTGGGAAATCATACATTGTGCTGGGAACTGAAGCTGAGTTGGCCACATGCACATCAAGTGCTTAATCCCTGTACTATCTCACTGGCTCCTTAAATTTTCTAATAATGTTTGATAAATTCTCTGAGTAGATTTGGTACATAAGTTTTACATAAAAACAGGGAGACTGTAGTGATAGTACAGCAGTTAGAGTGCCTGTCTTGAATGTAGCCTATCTGGGTTTGGTCCCCTGACCACCACCAGGTATGATCCCTGAGTGGAGAGCCAGGGATGAGCCCTGAACACAGGTGGGTGTGGACCCCAAATCAGAATCAAACAGAAAACCACCCAAACACATAGTACTTCCCTTAATATTCCTATTTCTGCTTTTTTTGTGTGTGTGTGTGGGGGCACAGCGAATGATACACAGGGGTTACCCCTAGCTCTGCACTTAGGAATTACTCCTGGCGTCGCTTGGGGGAACATTTGGGATGCTGAGAATTGAACCTGGGTAGGTCGCATGCAAGGCAAATGCCCTACCCGCTGTGCTGTCATTCCAGCGTTTTCTGCCTTTTTAATTTAATTTAATTAATTTATTTTAAATTTATTTATTGAATCACGGTGAGAAAAGTTATAAAGCTTTCAAATTTAAGTCTTGGTCATACAATGATCAAACACCCTTCCTTTCACCAGCAATTATTTTTCACCACCAAGAAGTCCAATATACCCCCTTTCACCCCTCCCAATGCCTGTGAGGCAGATGATTTCTACTTCTTAACTCTACTTTGATTACATTCATTATTTCGACAAAAGATGCACCATTATTGTTTAGAATTTCTCCCCCAAAATCAGAACTACTGAAAAGAAATTGTGAAATAATTTGCTTTCTATTGCTGTTATGAAAACCATATGATGTCTATTGCGGCCACGCAGTTTTGGATTTCTGATATTTTACTAATTAAGTCTGGAGGAATTTCTGCCAAGAGCCGGATAGTTACGAGATTGGTTTCTGTGACTCTGGAGCCATGGCTGTGCCAGAGAACCGCTCGTGGGGGGCAACTTGTGGCCTCAGTTGGGTATGAAGGACAAGCCGTTTTTGCCCCCTTCCCCATGAGGTTGCAGTTGCCCCGTCACTGCCGGCTCATACCTGGCTTTCCAATAAGCTCTGAGGTGGCCACCATGCTGCTAGGAGGGAAAAACGCAGAAGAGACAGACGCCCTTTCCCTCCCGGGGTGGGGGAGGCTGGGCAAGGCACCTTAGTTTAACGCATAGTCCATTCACATTTCTGCTGCAAGCTGCTGGGCTCTGTATTACGTCCTTGTGCTTCTGCTGCCATGGCCGTGCTGGAGAGCCGCTCGTGGGGGGCAACCTTTTTGCCTTTGTTAAATGGGGATTTCCCATCAGTGCTTGGGTCCTGGAGGTTCAAGTCTCCTGGTGGATAAAGGCCGACCATTCAGTGGTAGAGTCCAGCAGTGCAATACTCCATGGGGAGCCCAACATGTCCACACAAGATGCTGTTCTGAGTACCTTGTACTGGGGGTCAAAATTGGGGCTTCCATATGCAAAATATGTACTCTAGCCACTAGTGCCTTTTGCTACTTCCAGTTCAACTCTTAATTCTTTCCTAGTCCTTGCATTTTGATAATTTTGAGTTTTGTAATCCAAGGCCAAGGGTTTGTCACTGTTTGATATAATTTACTTCCTTGTTTTGTCTCTCTGTATACAACGGTGAATGACATCATCCAGTCTTTGTCATTTATATGATTCATTTTAAAAATATGGTACCCTTCTGTTCTAAGTTGAAGCAAACTCCATGAGTTCATCATTTTTTACATTTGTGTAATATTCCATTATGTACATATATGACATACATTCACGTATCCATATATCTGTCACTGGCCATTTGGTTTGAAGAAACTCTCTTAAAAACATCTAGTATTTAAAGGCCCTCCCGTTGATCATTGATTTGCTCGAGCGGGCCCAGTAACGTCTCCATTGGAGACTTTGTTGTTACTGTGTCTGGCATATCGAATACGTCACGGGGAGCTTGCCAGGCTCTGCCATGCAGGCGAGATACTCTCGGTAGCTTGCCGGGCTCTCTGAGAGGGGCGGAGGAATCGAACTTGGGTCGGCCATGTTGGCTGCGTGCAAGGCAAACGCCCTACCGCTGTGCTATCACTCCAGCCCGTCTAGTATTTAATTGGAAATATAAGATAGTTCAATAAAGGAAATGGGACCCATGCTCAGAGAAGGGCAGTCAATCAGTAGAGAAAACCCACAGTCCGCCCAGCTGTTAAAATTAGCAGACTAGAATATTAAATTAGGTATTATTACAATAGTGCTCAAGTACAAAAAACAAACTTATTATTGGACACATACTAGTCTCAGTACTAACTCTGAATCTGAATCTGTAAAAAATAAACTATTTGGGGCCGGAGCTATAGTACAGTGGGTAGGGTGTTTGCCTTACACGCGGCCAACCTGGGTTCAATCCCCAGCATCCCATATGGTCCCCCAAGCACCGCCAGGAGTATTTGAGCACAGAGCCAGGAGTAACCCCTGAGCATCGCTGGGTTTGACCCAAAAAGCAAAAAAAGAGAAACTATTTGAGGTAGCACTGTAGCACTGTCCTCCCTTTGTTCATCGATTTGCTAGAGCGGGCACCAGTAATGTCTCTTGCAGTGCTGGGGGTGGTAATGGAGCTAATGCTGGTTCTGTGCTCAGAGATCACTCTTGGCAGGGATGCCAGGGATAAAACCAGTCCTGCTACATAAAGGAAAGTGCCCAACACACCGTATTCGCTCTCCAGCCCCCCTTCTAAAAGTTTTTCAAATTTACATTTTAGTTATGATAATTGTAGAATCACATACAATTGTTAATTCAGAAAGAAGTTTTAATTCTCTGCCCAGTTTCCCACATTGGTAAAAATTTTCACAAGTTTACCACACGGTTATTGATACTTACCAATCTAATTCATATTTATTAACTATTATTAATAATTGTGTTTAATTATCATATCATCACACCCATAGACAGGTTACATGTTCCTCAGTTTGCCCTTATGTAATCACAGTTAGCTCCTATCCTTAGTCTTACCATGTTTAATACTTGGTAATCTCTAATCTGTCTTGCAATTCTGAAATTTTGTCAGTTTCAAACATACATTTTTATTGGTTTGGGTGCTATACCTGGTGGTGCTCAGTGCATACTTTTGGCTTTGTGCTCAGGGATTATTCGTTGCGGACTTGGGAGACCATATGGGATGCCATGAATTGAACAGTGGAATGTTATCGGCAAGTCAGATGCCCTATCTGGTGTACTGTCACTCCTGCCCCAAACATATTTTAATAATGGAATCATGCCATATGTAGCCTTTTAAATTTTTTTGACTGTCATTTTATTTGCTTTTTTAAAATTTCAGTATTTCATTATTTTTTTTTTTTTATTTTTTTTTTTTATTTTTTTTTATTTTTTTTTTTTATTTATTTATTGAATCACTGTGGGAAAGGTTACAAAGCTTTCAGGTTTATGTCTCAGTCATGCAAATATCAAACACATTTCCCTTTACCAATACTTATTTTTTCCCATGAAGAACCCCAATAAAACCCCACCCCCCACCCCTCGCCGTCCCTGTGAGGCAGATGAATTCTAGTTAACACTCTATCCGCTTTGATTAGATTGTTTCAATAAAAGATTCGCCACTATTATTTAGAGTTTACCCCCCCCCCCAAATCAGACATGCTGAAAAAGCATTGTGAAGTGATTTGCTTTCTACAGCTGGGTTCAAGAATTAAATGTTGGTTTTGGATTTCTGCTATTTTACCTATTGACCCTGGAAGTATTTCTACTGAAAGTCAGATAGTTAAGAAATTGGTTTCTGTGTTCTGGAGTCGTGGCCGTGCTGGAGAGCCGCTCGTGGGGGGCAACTGGTGGCCTCGGTAGGGCGTGAAGGGCGGAGCGAAACGCCCCCCTTCCCATGAGGTTTTAGTCGCCCCCACACTCCCGGCTCATACCTGCTGTCCACAAGGCTCCCATGTGGCCGCCATCTTTCTTTCCAGAGAGGAGAGGGCGAATGGGGCAACACCCTTTCCCCTCCGGCAGACTTGATGGGCTGGATCAACGCATAGTCCATTCACTTTTCTGCTCCAAGCTGCTGGGTTCTGCATTAAGTCCTTGTGCTTCTGGGGCCATGGCCGTGCTGGAGAGCCGCTCGCGGGGGGCGACTGGTGACCTCGGTAGGGCGTGAAGGACGGACCGGAACGCCCCCCTTCCCATGAGGTTTTAGTCGCCCCCACACTCCCGGCTCATACCTGCTGTCCACAAGGCTCCCATGTGGCCGCCATCTTTCTTTCCAGAGAGGAGAGGGCGAATGGGGCAACACCCTTTCCCCTCCGGCAGACTTGATGGCCTGGGTCAATGCATAGTCCGTTCACTTTTCTGCTCCAAGCTGCTGGGTTCTGCATTAAGTCCTTGTGCTTCTGGGGCCGTGGCTGTGCTGGAGAGCCGCTCGTGGGGGGTGACTGGTGACCTCGGTAGGGCGTGAAGGACGGACCGGAACGCCCCCCTTCCCATGAGGTTTTAGTCGCCCCCACACCCCCGGCTCATACCTGCTGTCCACAAGGCTCCCATGTGGCCGCCATCTTTCTTTCCAGAGGGAGGAGGGCGGAAGGGAGCAACACCCTTTCCCCTCTGGGCAGAAATGACTGCCTGGATTAACGCATAGTCCTTTCACTTTTCTGCTCCAAGCTGCTGGGCTCTGCATTAAGCCCTTGTGCTTCTGGGGCTGTGGCCGTGCTGGAGAGCCGCTCGTGGGGGG